CGTCGATTTATTATACACATATTATGTTTGTATTCATTTGTCTGTTAATAAAATGTCACTTTCATGCGGATGTAACACTGAAGAAGACTAGGTAAACAAATCTGGCGCGAATTCTTGAAGAATAAAAGAAATTCTAGCGTTTATTTAGAGACTACATTGTTCTTATTAGGAGATAAAGGGCAAAACTGAAAAATGTTACTACAGAATTAAGTACTTACTCGCAAGAAAGATAAATTCTTTTTGTGAGTAATGAGAAGTTTATAGGATACTTACTTATCCAAAATTAATAATGAAGACATTTATTGTGTCTTGAGAGTTTTGTTTTCGTTTATATAAATGTGCGGGAGTCATTCATGCTAGAAAATTGAAACTACTGAAGTTATCATTGCAACGATGACATACTTAGCTTTCTAATGAAGAAGATTTGTACTTTGGCTAGATGTTATTGGAGGTAGTTGTGTACCCTTTGCAACTAAACCATCCAACTGAGAAAAGATGACCATCAATGTTAAATACTAATGTACTGATGACATCTCAGCCTATTTATGCGTATTCTAATGTCGATTCACACAAAAAGATGAAGTAGTCATGAGACTATACGCAATCACCGCATTAGAATCGGGGACTTTCTCGTTATAATGCGAGCTCATAGACGATTCAGCCACTGGCGCCCAACCACACTGGATTGTGGTTGTGCTAGGAATTCACGAACTGGTAGAAGTTGGCATACAAGAGCTTTGGATCGAATCCCAGTTGTTGAATGGTCTACGAACTTGCCTTACAACCGGAAGGTCCTGGATTCTAGCACCAGATGGTGCGTACCGCTGGAGAGTCGTTAACAGGGATAGTACTCCCTGGATTTTAGTGATCCTTTAAGTGACGTTAATCTGTGAAGAAGTTATCAGTTTCAACAGAAAAGTTTGGTCCTTTCGACCTCGAACCAGTTGTCTACTGACTCTCAACATCTGTGTCTGCCAAGAAAGCCACTTGTTGAATACCAGTTAATTCCTTTCACCCAGTCACTTTATTTTCATATTTCTACATATGCCAAGTATTTCAGTACAGTGAAATATATAGGGGGACCTTTGCAGATGAAATGACTTGCATAGCATATGTAGTGACAAAAACCCACGTGTTATGGTCTGAACGGCGGAAACCGACCTTTGCGTTCTACCAAAACTCCTTTGAATCAATCACAGTCACAAAATGCCACGACGACAATGAAAAGACAGTTTTTTGAGATAAAGTGTGAGGAATTGTGCATCCGTGGCATAGCGGTTAGGACGCTCGCCAATCATGTGTATGATTCGGGGTTCGATCTCTAGCCAACGCACACCTGATATCAATGGTCGGCCTGCGAAATTTGAGCTATCGATATCACAAGCTGAAAATTTCATACTTGCACCAAAATTCTGAGTGGAATCAAGCTATTAAAAACCAAAATTACCTCAACAGTACCTTTATGCAGCTTTACAGATCAAATTACATCTCGGTTACAAGCTAAATACTGCACAAAAAAAAAAATCTGCTCAACCAAATCAACTTTAATAAGTACCTGAGTATAGAGAAGAATATTCTCAACAGGGTGGGATCAAAAACTCTGTCCACAAGAATCACATCAAAAATTCCATCAAACGGATCAAGATCAGAATCACCTTGATTCAATCAAATAAAAATCACATCGTATAACAACACATAATATCAACGCTGTTACACTGTAACAAGAGAAGGCAAGACACGGAAGCCAAGGTATATTTGTCATTAATCAAACCGATACGAAACAGAATGTTCAAATATACATAATATGCTGTTGTTAACGCAGTATTGAACTGTGTAAAAAGTATTCTGTCTCTAACATCAAATAGAATGTCCAAATAGATGATATATCCTATTCTGTTGCTAATACCGTATTAAACCGTGGGAATATGTCAGAATAATATTCCGTTGGAACACATTGTCTCTATCGCACCACCACAACACTAGCACAAACAAAATCCTTAAAATTAGAGATTAAACAGACAGAGAAACATATAATAAGGATCAAGTCAGTAGATGACATTCAAAAGTCAGAACAGTGTTATGTAGCCTACAAGAAAAGAGGAAAATTAGTACAGATTTGATTGAAGATTCCTGGACAAGAACAACAACAACAGACAAACATCAGCATAAATGGGAAGAACCTGAAAGAAACAACCTAGTTTACCTACCTGGGAAGCATCGTTTCAACTACAGGCGGACGAAACTGACGAGGATATCAAAGCAAGAATCGGAAAAGCAAGACAAGCTTTCACTACTCTCAAGTCTGTGTGGAGGTCAACAACACTCAGCATCAAAAATAAGATCCGGATTTTCAACTCCAATGTGAAGTCAGTGCCAATTACTATACGGATCAGAGACTTGCACTGCGCGTCATAAAGACCATCTCAAACAAACTACAGACCTTCATCAACGGTTGTCTTCGCTCAATACCACTCAAGATCAGATGGCCGGCCAGAAAAGATCAGCAACAGAGATCTCTGGCAATGAGCGAACCAACCAGGAACCGATTGTGAAACAAATAGGGAGAAAAAATGGAGGTGGATTGGCCATACTCTGGGGAAACCATCAAGTGACATCACTAGACAAGCCATTACTCGAGTGGAACGCGAAAGGGAAGCGGCGAGTTGGTCGTCAGTGCAAGGGTGACTTGGAGGAGGTGATGTGAAGAGGAGGAGCCAGGTGAAAACGTTGGTGGAGAACCGAACGCGATGGAGATGCACGGCTGAAGCCCTCTGTTCCTGTAGGAATTAAAGGAAACAATAATAATAATGATAATTCAAATAAGTACAAACATTTTAATTGGATGGTTCAGGAAGGATTTTCCAAACAGTTGTTTTGTGCACCATAGTAGTCCAAACGACAAAAGATCTAGCACTTAAAAATGGCGGGTGCTTGCTTCAAATATCAGTGGGTTGGGGGTAAATGCGACTGATAAGCCTTCATCTGGATGAAACACTATCACTACGTCTAGTGCTAAATTGTATCAATTAAGTAACATTATTTCCACTTATTTAGCTTCATTTTTAAGTTTAAAGTCATCTGTGAAACTTAGAGGAAACATCTCCTGAAGGAATTAGAATCTCATACATTTTTATCTTCTCCTCCTAGTCGCGCTTCCTTTTCAGTTTTGAAACCATATAAACTGGTGGTGACCTCAAACTAGAAATTCTAATGTTTATATTTCAGATGTGTTGATTTTATAATGTTTTCTATACTACGATCAAACATTGATGCAATCAAAAATCTATAGATATCCTTCTCATGTTAACTTCAACTGTATATACAAATTTACATGTATCTGCGGGAGCAGTTACATTCGAAGAACACAAAGAAGGGCATATCTACGATTTTCTGAACATGTACCAAAAAGCTTACGTCTTAAGGGAATAAATGCTTTAAACAGTGCCATCGCCAGGCATCTCCTCGACACAGGTCATGAGGTGGACGTCGAAAAATCGTTCAAAATTATCAATAGGCAAAAGAGCTCAATTCTCCCTAAGTTTGCTGAAGCCATTTCCATCAAGCGCCTGAAACCTGATTTATGCGTTCAGAAAGAAGCGATTATCAGTCTTTCTTTGCCCTGGTAACTGGATATTTTTCATCCAAATGCGAGATGCTGAAAAGTTTTCATTGTGTATGATTATTATTGTTCGGAATAGTGTTTAATATTGCATATATATATGTACATATTATTAGTGTATGCGTATATTGATCGATTGATTTTTGTTTAAAATGAACTCTGTGCAAGTATGTTAAAATTGTTTTTGTAGATATATTTAATAATGTCTTTGCCCTGTAAGCAGCTGACGAGAAGGCAACGAAATAAAAGATGGTACCATTTTATTCTGCTAAAACTGTAGTTCTTGCTTTGTTCAAATTGAAGTATGTTATTATCATTACTTATAACCATTATAATTTCAGGTAGTTTACAGCTTATGTGAACCTGTGAAATAGAATGTCAATCCCGTCTTTCTTTCTTCAATTAAATAAGAATTTCACATTTGCCAGGTGAATCTATAAATGTTATTCGCCTACAACTATGCAGTGTTTACAGGAAGCTTATAAACATTTTTTTTCTAATAAATTCTGTCTAACAACGTCAGTAACTCACTTAGTGATATTAGTTCCAGTTGATATTTACTCTCCGCATGTTCGTCACAAAGAATATTTCCAACAGCCTGTTGCAGACCTTTATCAACAACTGTCTTCGCTCTATACTGAAGATCAGATGGCCGGAAAGAATCACAAACAAGAAGCTATGGGAACAAACAAAACAAGAACCAACCGCCCAACAAATATGCAAGAGAAAGTGGAGATGGATTGGACACTCGCTGAGGAGGCCGTTGGGTGACATCGCGCGTCAGTCCATAGCTCGAGTGGAACCCGAAAGGGAAGCGGCGAGTGGGACCTCCATGGGTGACATGGAGGAGATCGTGTGAAGAAGAACTGAAACAGTATGGATTGACATGTATGCAAGTGAAAAGTACAGCAGAAGACAGAAGCAAGTGGAGACGTGTAGTTGAAGCCCTATGTTCCACTAGGAACCCAAAAGAACAATAATAATAATGTTCGTCATTTTAATCAACTCGCCAACCATGCAGGAGTATGATCTCTGGCCGATGCATTCCTAAACTTTGTTAAGCCAGTAGTAAGGTAGGTAAAGAGGGAAGCTTGAACGTGATTCTAGCAACTACACCCCGTAAAAAACGACTGCTTCTGAAGCCTCAAAGCTCTAGTTGGAAGCCCTATGCTCCACTTAGAACGTAAAAGAATAAACATATAGATATGAATAGTAGCGGAATTGTTATTTAATTATCATGTATATATAAATATATTATATATATATTGCCCAATCCAGCAACTAAAACACCTTGAGGTAAAAAGAAGAATATTCATTTTCTATTGGTTGATTCGCATTTTCCTATTTATTAGGTATAAATAAGCTGATTAGTGCATTCACAATCATTTTTTGTTGTTGTTGCATTCATCTGCATTTTCATACCGATACAAATATGCCACAGTTTATCATAACACCATTACTTACTAACATAATACAATAAGAAGTGTTATCGATTCCGAATTATTTCATTATCTATCTCCACATCATTTTCTAATTCATTAAAGACTTTTGATTATTCAATGGACAAATCTTCACTTTATTTCTAATAAAATAAGTGAATCACTCAAAAAGGACCTTCTTTCATTTATTATATTAAAATAGGTGAAGTTATCAAACAGTGTGACAGTTATTTTACCTAATCAACCTATACGGAAGCTTTAATAATAATTGACTGTAAAAACAGCGGTAAGTAAATTTGAGTGGAATTATCTTTTATAAGAAACGAAATACTCTATATGTCTACACTAAGTTCACCTTTAGTAGACTGGAAAAACTTGAGCATTGAGTGGTTAAATGATTTTCATTATGCTAAACATTTTTTTAATTTCCCAATGAATAGAAAACGAAACGACATTATTTTCAATGACGTTCCGCTACTTAATGACGCTAACAGATTTATCAAAGTAATATTAAACCAGAATTTACAAAATCTAAGCTCATATACAGCAAATTAGTTATCGTTTTTCAAGTATCGGTTTTGTAGAGATTGTGTTTGATTCGTTGGAGGGCTTTATCATGAGTTGACGTCAGTTTGAGAACCATTGGAAAACCAGCCGAGAGTACTGAACATCTATTTCGTCAGTCTAGTTTAGGACTCTTCAGCAACGACAACTGATATCAGCTAGTGATGAAAACCTCCAACTAATCATCATCCTTCAGAGTGAGGCAACATTTACGTCGCTGTCAAGCTGTTCAATTAGTAAAGATAACAAAACCCCGTGTAGATTGTAGGATTTGATCGGTACATGAAATTATAAAAGCAGTATGCGTTTACATGATGAAAATTGCTTATCACATTTGTGGTGTAGGGACCAGTTTGAACTCTGTCTTTGTTCATCATTCCTATTCAGACAAGTTGCATTTTGTGCTTCTGATATTACACATCCTTTGTGATTTTTGAAATTTCTCTGGATAATTTAAATATTGTCTAAATCAATTTTGTTAACTGATGTCATAGAGTATAGACGTGTTGCTGATGATGTTTCAAGCTTTTTTAGTTCGTTATCTGGATTTCTCAGTGGTTAAGCAGATGCACTACGGTGTTCATTTCTTTTGATCCTAATTTCTCTCGAGGTTTGTGAATCCTTTGAAATTTTGTCTATTACAGTGTGTCTGATGTTTTGAAGAAAACTCTGGTGTTCAAATTGATTTAGACAATATTTAAATTTTCCAGAGAAATTTCAAAAATCACAAAGGATGTGTAATATCAGAGGCACAAAATGCAAATTGTCTGAATAGGAATGATGAACTAAGACAGAATTCAACCTGGTCCCTACACCACAAATGTGATAAGCAATTTTCATCATGTAAACACATACTGTTTTTATAATTTCATATACTAATCAAATCCAACAATCTACACATGGTTTTGTTATCTTTACTAATTGACCAACTTGACAGCGACGTAAAAGTTGCCTCATTCTGAAGGACGATGATTAATTGGAGGGTTTCATCATGAGCTGGTACCAGTTCTTGCTGATGAAGAGTCCTAAACTAGACTGACAAAACAGATGTTCAGTACTTCCGGCTGGTTTTCCAATGGTTCTCTAACTGACCTCGACTCATGATGAAACCCTCCAATCGATAAAACACAATCTCTACAAAACCAATACAATGAATTATTTGCTGTATATGAGCTTAGATTTTGTAAATTCTGGTTTAATATTACTTTGATAAAGTTGTTAGCAGCATCAAGTAGCGGAACGTCAGTGAAAACAATGTCGTTTTGTTTTTTATTCATTGGGAAATATGAAAACTTTTATAATAATGAAATAATACATATATTGTTAGGGACTTAACGGTAAAATGAAAACCTGCGTCGTGTAATGCTCTGTCAGCTGAACTGTACGGACTAACTGAGAACCAGGCAATCTTTTCACAGCAGGCACAGCAGACATTTCCTAACAAGTGTCAAGTAAATAAATAATAAATTACTGTCTGTTAGGCTTCTTACTCTCCCTTCAGCTGGGTTCCTGTCTGTCGATCCTTATCAATAATATTTAAGAGTGAGAAATATTCTCATATGATGAATTAAAACTCAATCTGAATGAAGAATATTCTTCTCAATAAATTATCCTCCTCAGGTTCTTACAGTTATAAAATATATTTGTTACCCTAACAATAATGGCTAGTTACGCGGTTGATGCATTTTTAAAAATAGAATAATAGATTAGTTATAGGGTGACTATATAAGTAGTATCTATTTGACATACGTGCTGGCTTGAATGCACTTTCAAAATAATTTCAAATTATGGGGAAGTTAAATTGTCAAGGGTGTAAAAGATATCAGATAAGAGTGGCTAGTACAAAATAGGATGCATTAAAGAGGAAACAGTGATACTGTGGTGAACAGTTCATCATGAAATAACCAATGTGAAATTAAAGAGGTGAAACCACTTAGGGAGAAAAGAGATAGTAGAACCAATAGTAAGTTTGAATAGTGCAATTCGAAAATTCGGCAGTACTGAAAGAATGTTAGAATGAAGAATATAAATTATAATAATAACGGTTATGTAAGTGTTGATGCAAAGTTCTGTATCTACCAAGTGTGACAGAATTCAACTCTTATGCAAATGATGCCCTCTTAATATACCAACCCAATGAAGTGTTCTCGAATTCATGTAGAGGTTTATCTTATGGTACTCCCTATACAACTTGAACCACAGGAACGGTTGAAACGATGTATGTATGAGGAAGAGCTAAAAGTACGTAGGTTTTGAAATGAACGTCAAACTCCTACTGAAGGATAGGAGTATATGAGCAGATTAAAAGCTCTTGTTTATGCTTTTCTTAGATGTTGGGATAGGATTTCTGTAGGAGTATGTCACTGGAATTGTAGACGCAAACATTAAGGCTTTTTCTTCACTGTTACCACCAGTTCATGTTTCCAACTATAATAACTCACGCTGTTCCACATTAATTTGTTTATTGCACATAACACACAGTGAAGCAGTATTATTTACTGGATGTAATGCAATTCATTGTTCATAGTCAAAGAGATTATAACTACACAACTTCAAAACTCTCGTTTAATAGTTTTCTTTATTCTTTCCAATTCATCGTAGGAGTAGTAGAATTTACCATATGTTCAGGACAGATGTTGAATCAAACATTTTGCATATATTTTCCTTCATAGTAAGGCGTGGTCAGTTAAACTAGAGGAGGACAAAAACCTTGCAAACTGTATATTAGTTAACTTTAAAAAGAAAAGAAATCCGCAGAGCAGCTTATCCATAGCTTTACATGCAATTACACACTACTATAAAACAGAATGGAATAAAATGACAGTCTTTAAGTCTAATATAATAAGATGGAGGAAGAGATTGATAACTGAAGCTGTTGTATGTCAAATAAGCGGAAAATACGTTCAACAGGTTTGATTCAACATCTGTCCTGGACATCTGGAAAATTCTACTACTCCTACGACGAATAGGAAAGAATTAAGAAAACTATAAAACAAGAGTTTTGAAGTTGTGTAGTTACAGTTGGTATGATTATGACCAATAAATTGAGTTTGAAATGTCATCCAGTAAGTAATACTGATTCACTGTGTGTTATATCTAATAAACAAATAATATGAAATTAAATTCTACCTCGGCGCCCAAGTTTTACTCATGTACTAGGAACATGTGTCAGCTTTTGTAAACTTCTCTGACCGTCCCACCTTGAGTTTCTTCTCCTCACAGTCTTCAGGGTAAATCGACCTCACTGTAAATGCTAAGCAGCTGGTCTTGTTACGTTCTTATTTCGTAGTAAAGAAGCTGGGGAAGCTTTTGATCTCTAACTTTCTAAACGTGATTCTTTTAATGAACCCCTCCTCTCTTCTCGTTAATGACAAGTCAAGGTAGTGCAAAGTATCTCTGTAGTAGCCTTCGTGGGCGAAATGGTCCTCTGGGTGAGCACTGCTGAAGTGGCTAATTCAAATCATTTCGTAAATCTTCATTGTACATTACAAAATTGTTTCCCATGTAACCATAGTATAGTTCCATTTCGGTTATTTCATCTTTCAAAGGACCATTTTCTAGTTTTGTTAGAAATATCGTCGCAATTATAGGACTTGGTGGTAATCCCATGACCACTGTATCAACTTTTCTGCATATTTCATTATTTAATATAAACTGGACATTCGTTGTACATTTAAGCAGTTGTTGCTTCAGACTAAAGAGATATGAAGAATGAATATAAACGGGAGAGAAGTAGGTTATTAACTAACGATTAGAATACTTGGTATAGTCTTTGTGTTATATATACTGAAAAACCTGATAAAACTTGAGTATATATATACATATCATTTATCTAAGCATGTCAAGTCTTTGTTTCTTGAGTTATTAAATAATTTCTACGAAACAACCTTTCAGGACTGAATAGAACTAAATAAATGTTAATCGTTGAAATTCAAATGCAACCAAAATGTGCTATGTCATTAAATGAAATCATTCAAGTATATTCGCTCCGATGCAGTAGGTGCCTCATTACTGTTATTATAATGATCTTTTTGGCTTCCTTGTGAAACATAAGGCTTCAAAAGCACATCTTTATTTTATTTTGTTTTCTGCAATCATCCATGATTGCCCATAAGTTCGCATTTGCTTCTCATACCAACTCCTACATGTCACCCTCAAACCAAGTCCAACTCTTCGTTCCTCATCCAGGTACCAGTCAAGCCGTGGCCAGGTGCGCCATGTAACTCACTTGTTTCCTCAGTGTGTGTGATGCATCTTGGTTTTCTTCGTTATATTTGTTGGGCTATGGGTTCTTGGTTGGTTCGTCTCCGCAGTTCTTTGTTACATATCACTTCCAACCGGCAATGTAATCTTCAATATGGAGTCATAGAGGAGGAAGCAACTGTTGATGAAAGTCTGAAGCTTGTTAGAGGTGCTTTTGGTGACGCACCAAGTCTCTAAATCAGAAGAACTGACTATAAATTAGTGTTGAAAATCCAAATCCTTTTCCTTAAGCTTAGTGTGGCAGATTTCTCCACTGATTTCTAATTAACGAAAGTATTTCTTGCCTTTCTGATTGTGACTTTGCCAATCTGACGGCAGCTGACTGCCTGTGGTTGAAACGCCGCTGCCTGAATAAGTGAATAATATGACTTCCCTTAGATGTCCCCCGTTGATGTTGATAGGTGCTTCGTGTTGTGGTTGGCGATAGGGTATCTTGATCACCTCTATCGTCTCTATTGT